ACCCACACCTACAGTGTTCTCCCACCAGAGCAGCAACCCTGGGGAATCCCTGCAACTTTCTATATGAGGTCTACTTGAGGTACAGTCCCAACATGGATCCCCATGGGGATATCTCCTACCTCTTCCGGACCATGGGGGTCTCCCACATGCCCCCCTCAAGTCTTGCCTGGCCGTGGGGCATTGTCCGGTCGGCTTCTGTGTCCAGCATGAGAGCTCCACGAGGGCAGAGGAGGTCGTGCCCTTCTTTTTGTCCCTGGTACCTGGCACCTAGTTGTCCATAAGTATTTGTTAAATAGTTGCTATAGTGAATAGACATGAAGTTAAATCCTTCAATTTTAAGCTCCACGAGGGCAGGGACTGTGCCTTCTTGTATTAATGCTAATGTCTGACACAGAACTTAACACATAGTAGGGCCTTGCGTGTTTGTGGAGAATGATGAAGACACACAGTCATCATCCCGCTTGGGGGAGACCCCTACTCAGGGCTCCATCTTCTTCCCTGTATTCCTCCATACATAATTTTAATAAATTATTTCCTACAGAAGAAGAATGGACTGCAGAGCATTTTTTTTTTTAATATACATGCCATAGGAGATTTCTGGTAGAGTCCTGGGCGTGGAATCAGACCTCCTGAGTTCAAATCCAGCCTCAGACACTTCCTAGCTGTGTGACCCTGGGCAAGTCACTTCACCCTGTGTGCCTCGGTTTCTTCATTTGTCAAATGATCTGGAGAAGGAAATGGCAAACCACTCCAGTATCTTTGCCAAGAAAATCCCAAATGGGATCACAGAGAATCAGCAACAACACAGGAGATTGTTTGTCGGGCTGTTTCAGTGGTGCATTTGCCCATGGCTATCGCCTGTACTTGGTACCTCTGCCAAGGGGCATTGGCACAAACCGGTGCCTTGGAAGTTTGGGCTGCCGAGGATCCCAATAAGAAGCTAATCCTAGGTTGTGAATGATCTGAAAGTAGCAAAGTCAAATCAGAACAGTCAGTATCAACCTGGATTTAGAATGTGAATGCACCTTTGATAGGCATCTTGTCATGTTGTCAAGCATGCTGGTCTTGGGTTCAAATCCTGCTTCTGACTCTCACTCGCTGTTTGATATAGGAAAGTCACTGGAACCTCTTCCTCAGTTTCTTCATATGCAAAACAGGGGGTTGGACGTGATGACCTCAAAGGTCTTGTCCAGCTCTGGATCTCTGACCTTGTGACCTAGTCTGGCCCCCTCGGTCTATAGAGGAGGAAAAACCGAGGCCCAGAAAGGTTATGTGACTAGTCCATGGCCACGTAGGTAGTAAGTGGCAGTCCTGGGCTTTGGATTCTGGTTCTGGACCCACAAGGCCACAGATCTCAGCCTCAAGCTGGAGAGGAGCTGGAGGTCAACCTGGGCTTTGAGGAAGCTGTAATGCGGCTTCTTGAGGGCTGGTGTTCGGTTTTTGTTTGCCTAGCACCGTTCCTGCCCCCCCCCCACTGAAGAAATGCTTGTGGAATTGCATTGGCCTTTAAAGATCAGAGAGGGCCTCTGCACGTGGGAAAGGACTCTGGTCTTAGGAAAAGGCAAAAACCAAAGGCCAGAATGCGGGAAGACATGGTAGGACAAGGAGTCATCTCTGTTTCCCCAGTGTGTGGCCTGGTGCCCGGCACCTCTTAGGGGCTTATTAATGATTGAGCAGCAGAGGGGTAGGGTGAGAAAAGTCTGGAAAGGCAGGGTGACCGCAGGTCGTGGAGGGCCCTGAATTTCAAGTTTAAAAATGTGGACTTTATTGAAGGTTTTCAGCTGAGGAGAGATGAGGCCTTGCATGAGGAAAACGAATCTGGTAGCAACATAGAGAATGGATCGCGGTGGGGAGGGGGGGAAAGGGTATTGAGGTGGGGAGGGCCGCCTTTTTTCTTTTCTCTCTGCAGAGAACTGATTATTTTCTTTTCTTGAATTCATAAGCTACACTTCCTCATTTGTAGAGGTATGGAATGCAGTGGAGGTTTTGTATGGCAGGGTCTGAGAGGCTGTCCCTGTCGCCTGGAGAATTGTCCTGTTACTTGGGAAATTTTGGGAAAAGGATGTTCATGTTAGATGCAGAAGGGCCTGGAGTGAAATGGGAAAAAAAAATTACAAAACTTAAGTGTTACAGAATTTAAACACACACACACACACACACACTCACACACACACACACATACACAGCCTCACACTCACACTCACACACACATACACATACACACATATACTCTCACATATACACATTGTCACACACTCTCACACTTACATGCACATACACACACTCACAGACACTCACCCCAAAACAAAATAACCCTTTCTTCCTGGAAAATGTTAAGAGTCTCAGATCCAACTGTTAGAATTTATGTTACCTTCTGGGGATGGTTGAAACAAACATTAATGTGCTTTAAAAAATGTGTGTCCAAGTTTGGAAGGAACAGACCTAAATGTCTCTCTTCCTTTCCAGGGTAGCATCTGTGGGCAAGTTTGTCCCTCTCCAATTAGTCTTTTCTGGAACAGAAAGAACTGTTCATGAGATTTGTCCATTAATGTGCTGGTGAGGGGAAGGGCCATCCACCATGGTTCTCAGTGACCTGCTGTGTTTTGGAAATCCACCAAAGGGACAGGTGACCCCACTTGACTGATATGAAATTGAACGTAATAAAAGTCAGAGTCCCCGCCTTTCCTTCTCAAGGTCACATTGTGAGTGATCTTGACTGAATGCAGGATGTATACGGCTTGCATGGTGGCCTATTTGACCCTGGTGCTCTGTGCCCGTTGGGCTGAAGTTCTGGATGCATTTATGTGGGCAGGCCAGGGCTTTGGAACGGGCAGGTTCCCTTGTTGCTGGACCCAATTCCCAGCTTTTCCCTGTCCTTACTTGATTCTTTCACCCATGAAACCTTTACCTTTACTATCGCACGTCTCCAAAATGGAGGAAGCTGGAGGGCCAGAGGGAGAAAAGGTGGATTTGTCCATTTTCCTTGCCTCTTGAAATCGTTTGCGGTTTCCTTAGTTTAGTGGATAGTTTCTAGGGCTTCCTCCAAGCCATATGAGAATGGGTGTGTAGTGTAGGCTGTTTCTCCATCTCTTCTGAGTCACAGGCTCCTACCTACCCCACCCAGCCCCAGCCAGACTACTACCCTGTCCCGTTCCCTGAGGATGAGAAACGAGCACTTCATAGATATTTGACAAACCCACTTAACCAATTGAGAAGGCAGAATGGTTAGTGTAGTGGTGCTCAATGTTTTTAGTCTTGGGACCCTTCTACACAATAAAAGATTTTTTTGTTTGTTTGTTTTGTTTTGTTTTGTTTTTTTGTGAGGCAGTTGGGGTTAAGTGATGTGCCTAGGGTCACACAGCTAGTAAGCCTCAAGTGCCTGAGGTCGGCTTTGAACTCAGGTCCTCCTGACTCCAGGACTGGTGCTCCATACAGTAAAAGATTTTTGAGGATCTTCCCCTACAGAATTTTTGTTCATGTGGGCTTTGTCTATTGATATTTAATATTTTAGAAATTAAAACATATTAGTAGTATTGGGAAAATAATTTTGACCTCAGAGATCCCCTGAAAGGGTCTTGGAGACTCCTTGGAATCCCTGGACCACACTTTGAGAACTGTTGGTTATAGTGGAAAGAGCCCTGGCCTTGGGGTCATAAGACCTAGATTCAAACTCTGTTTGATCTTAATAACTTCGTTGGGCCTCAGTTTCCTCATCTGTAAAATAGTGGTGTCTAAGGCCCATTCTGGCTTCTAGATTTTGGATCCTATTAGAACTCAACAAGTCAATATCAACAAGGTGGGGTATAAACAGTTACTGGTGTCGTGCCATATATAGATCTATAACTGCCCCTCTGGGAGTGTCTGTACTCTGCTCCTCCCCTGGGTTACCTTACACTATGGCGTCACTTGGCTAGGATTGTCTGTTGGATGGAGGGCTGCACCAGCTGTCAGGAAGTCCTTACTTCAGTGTAGAATGTGAGCCCTGGAAGGAGCTCTGGAGGTTATCAGGGGCCTCAGTGGAAAGGGCCCTTGGCCTTCTGCATTTGGAATCCCTGGCCGTGAGCCTCCCTCCCAGCCCGGCCACGTCCTGCAGTCCTGCACGGGCGACCTTGGATGAGATGCTTTTGGGCGTCTGTAAAGTGTAGGGGTTAGACTAGGATGCCTTCTGCCCTTAATTCTATTTTCCTGTGGTCCTGTGACGAGCATCGCCCGTGTTGTAGAGGAGAGGCCTGGAGAGGCCCAGCAGCATCGTGCAACAGGAGCCCTCAGGCCTTGCTGACCTTTAGACTCAAAGGAATGGCCTCAGCCTTGTCAGCTGTCATCACGTGTCTCTTCTTGCTGAGTTGGGATGATTTGTGTCGTCCTTGGACTTGCTGGTCTGGTCGGCCCAGAGTCACTGACCGGCTAGATGAGGGATTTCCTGACTGCCAGCCAGTATTACAAAGGGTGAGCCTGGAATTAGTCACATTTTGGCTGAAGAAATAAAAGGTTTTTCAGGAGCCCCACAAAACAAAAATAGGCACCATCATGCGCCCAGTGGGCAGTGTGCTGTCTCTGGTCAGTGAGAGGCCTGGGTTCAAATATCACCTCTGATGCTTATCATCTGCGTGACCTTGGGCAAAGCGCTCTTCGCGTTCGCGTCCGTTCTTTATTTTCCTCCACTGTAAAACAAAAGGGTTGGACTGACGTCCCTTCTGGCTTCCCAGTCAAGATCCTATGAACGTACTGCATATTATGTGTTTATGTTTAGGACTGACTCCTTTTAGACTGTAAGCTCTGTGAGGGCAGGGACTCAGTTCTTAGCTGAAGTAACCCTGCCCCCTGTAAATGTCAACTGCTTTCTGTTGCTGACTTGCATACCAATCTAGCCATCTAGGTGTTTAATTTTTAATTAACTGGAGTGTGCTTCGGGTGATGACATGCTTCCACCCTGGAGTATGAACGTGGGACCCTCCCTGTGTCTGACTTTGCCTCAGCCTGCTGGTGTGTCTCTCTTCCAGGCCCAGCTCGAAGCCCAGAAGGCAACTCAGGACTTCCAGAGGGCGACCGAGGTTCTCCGAGCTGCCAAGGAGACCATCTCCCTGGCTGAGCAGAGGCTCCTGGAGGACGACAATCGGCAGTTTGACTCGGCCTGGCAAGAAATGCTCAATCATGCCACCCAGCGGGTAGGAGCTGCGAGGCCTTGCTTACTGCATGCCTTTCTCTGCCTCTCCTCCTTCTCCCTTGTCTTATTGACCCAGCCCGACAACCTCTGATGGGGGCTCAGGGGCTGCTGCTGGCTTCTACTCCCAAGTGAGTGGGGCCCTCAAGAGGAGGTTGCCATGGAGATGGCATCTCTAGTGGTGCCGGGGCTTGGTAGCAAGCACCTGCTGCCTCTGTAGGAACTAAATTCACGCCTGAAGGGCTTGGTTCCTCCTCTACCATGGCTTGAGGTCCATCGGATCCATGGCCACACCCTCGGTGGTGGAGGGGAGTGTGGTGATGGGAAGTCTCACCCTGCCCCGTTACAGGTGGGGTTTCTTAGGTGGAGAAATGGCAGAGCATGCGTGGATTCCCAGGAGAGGACCCTCAGGCCTGGCATTCCCAGGCTTGAGCTGAAACTGGTCTTGCTTGTTAGAAGCTTTCTGTTGGGCAGTGAAGGGGGTCTAGATAAAATATGGTGGGGGAGGAGGGCAGCAGGGGCTGTTTATTTGGTCCTTTTGTCCTCTAGATGTAGTTGGGGCAAACTCTTCCCCAACGTCTGTGGCTTAGAAGCACAAGTTTAGAGCTCACAGGATCAGAATTACAGATGAGGAACGAAGCCTAGAAAGTTTAATTGACTTATCCAACGTCACACACCCAGGTGGTGGTACATGGCAGATATAGGATTTGAACCCAGCACCTCCTGGCTCTAAATCTAGTCCATTTCCTTCTATATCACTGTATCCCACTGGCCAACTGCAGTGCTGTCCTATGTAATAATAGCAGTCGTAGCAGCATGGCACTGGGCTAAGTGCTTTACAATTACTATTTGATTCTCACAACAGCCCTGGGAGGCAGGTGCCATTTTTACCCCCATTTTACATCTAAGGAAAACGAGGCAGGCAGAGGTTAAATGCCTTGCTCAGGGTCATATAGCTAGGAAGTGTCTGAGGCTGCATTTGAACCCAGATCTTCCTCATTCCAGACCCACGGGCCATCTGGCTGCCCTGGCTGCTGCTGTAGGGATGGGGCGAGTGTGGGAGCGAGGAGAAGCTAAGCAGAGATGAATCTTAGCCGTTGTTAGGAGCTCTGGTGGCGCTGTGGCCCATGGGCCAATGGAAAGGAGGCTACTAGAAATACGTAGAAGAAAAATGGGTTTATATATAAGGTCAGGAGCCAGACCCGTGTGGATTCTAGGCTTGTTGCCCTCACCACCTGCCCATCTGTTTGATCAGATGTAGGGTTCCATGGCGGCACGTTGGATTGAGCGCCATCACTCAAGTCAGGAAGACCTGAGTTCACCTCCTGCCTCAGACACTCCCTAGCTGAGCCCGAGTGTACCTCCCTCAGCCTCAGTTATCTGTAGAATGGGTTCACAAGAGCTGCCTCCCTCACGGGACCAGATGGGGTAGCCCCTGTAGAGGGGGCCTTGCCAACCGTACAGCGCCATACTAGTGCTGGCTGTTACTGTTTTAGCAGGGGTGATGTGTCGGCGTAACCCTTCCCTCTTCTGTACCCCAGCTTCTGAGGCTCCCCCCACCCCAGGAATGTGTCCTTGGTGGGGGGGGGCACATCTGGCCAGCGACACCATCACTAACCCCGGGCCAGGAAGAACCCTGTTCTCCCTACTGACTGAACTGATTACTAGGGGGAGTTTTCAGAAGCGTTTGGAACCACAGAAGGAGAAAGCCAGGACCCTGACAGCTGTGAAAGGGGCTTGATGAATATTTGGTGCATTTGCTTCCAAATGATGCAAAACCGCTCCACCCACCCCCACGTGCCATCTGTTTCCCAGCTGACACCCTGCTTGGAACTGAGCAGAGTCCAGTGATCGAAACTGGTCCATCAGTGACTCCGGAATCTGTGATTCCACTCTTTAGAAACAGAACTAAACAAAAAAGCAGGGAGGCATCTATGTCTCTGCTGGAGATCTTTTCGACAGGCCTTGGGTGGTGGCGAGGGGAAGGGTCTGGTGAGGGGACGTGTGGGTGGTCCTTTCTCCTGGGGCTCTGCCGCCGGCCCTTTGATTCATTCTTGCTCAGGCATCTTCAGGCTGGCAGAGCACGTGTGTCTTTAAGTCTGAGTTTGACTTGGGAGCAGATGTGTGCAGGCTTGCCTCTGGTCTAGGTGGCTTCAGTGTCAACCTGGACCCAGGATGGAACTTGGAGACCTTCTAGAGAAAAGCCACACAATTAATAAAGCCTCCAGCCAGAGACTTTCTTTGCTCCGTCCCCTGTGGGGTAGTTAAGGAAGAGGGACTGTTAGCACAGGACAGTGGACAGAACAAATGGTATGGTCTCAGTCCTGGGTGTTACCAGCGGTGTGACCACAGGCGTCACTTAAGCTCCTTCCGGTTTAGTTTCCTTCTCTGTAAAATGTGGGTCATCAAGTTAAACCTGTAAAGGACTTCTGGAGTCATTTGTTCTAATCCCTGCAAGGCAGCTTGAACATTGGCAAGAGCACCGGGGTGGGTATCTGAGGACCTGGGTTTGAATTCTGATTCTGCTACTTAGCTGAATTTGGGCAAGTCCCTTAATGTCTCTTTGCTCCCTCATCTGTAAAGGGAAAGGGGTTAAACTCAGTGATTCCCCTTTGAGAGGCAGGTAGGTCGTTCAATGGATAGAACACTGGACTTGGAGTTCAAAGACCCGAGTTCAAATCCAGCCTCAGACACTTACCGTGTGATCCTGAGCAAGGACCTGCCTCAGTTCCCTTCTAATAACAGCACCTACCTTAGTGGGATGATATTTGTAAAGTGCTTTGCAAAACCCTTAAGTGTTATATAAATGCTAGGTATTGTTATTATTTTTAAAATAGATGAAAATAGTAATATTTGCACAACCTACCTCACAGGGTGGTTGTGGGAAGAATTGTGACAGCCAGGATGGCTTAGTGGACAAAGGGCTGGTCTGGGAGTTGTGAACACGTGGGAGATAATAAGCCTTGTACGCAAGTGTGGCAGAATACAGAGCTGACCACAGAGTCAGGGATTCTGCCCCAGGGAGCTCCTGAAGACTGTAAGTTATAGACGGATTGCTGATCTGTATCAGTGATGGCGGTCTCCATGCTGGGAGATCTCATTAATCAAGCCACAGGCATATATATGCAAACGTATGTATATAATGTGTATTTATAGATACACATACGTATACATACAGGATGTCCCAAAAGTCTTAGAGCCGTTGGAAACTAATCACTTCTAACTGCAAAGCTTCAAGTGACAGTACGACTTTTGGGATCCACTATATGTGTGCATGTGTGTACACGCACATACGTGGGTTTATGTAGTCTTACACACACACATTTCCCGGTGTGAGCTAACATGATCATTGAAGGCAGCAGTGCTTGCCCTGCTCCCATTGGGTGAGAGGTGGACAGCACAGTGGATTTTACAGGCGAGGTCAGTGGAGATGGTCAGGAAGTCACTAAGGTGGGATGGGAACCCAGGTGCTCCGACTCCAAAGGCCAGCTTATTTCTTCCTCTACAGCGTGGTTGCCGAGGTCACCCTTGATGACTCATGATCCTCGTGCTACAGACTGTGAAAGATGTCCCTGTGTCTGCAAGCTTTCCTCAAAGGCAGGGAGCCCTTGGGGGCTGTCCCACCTCCCTCCTCCCTTTGCTGCTATAAGTGCCATTGGATGGGAGTCCTTTACTCTGGGAAATCTGCTCCCCTTGGGGACTGGTGATGGGCAGCGACTTTTTTCCGTAAGTGGAGGGGCAAGGCGTCTTAGTCCCACTGAGGCATTGTGCCTGTAGGCAGGGCTACGCTCGCAGTGAGGATCCCCTGGATTCGGCTCCTCAGGCATTTAACAGCTTGGTACAACCCAGTTGGGTGGGCTTGCGTGGGCAAGTCACCTAGCGCCTCTCAGCCCCAGCTTCCTCATCTGTAATATGGGTATAACACCTGTCGTGCCTATCTCCTGGAGTTGGTGCGAGGCTGGAATGAAATTCTTGGTTTTGCAAATGTGGAAGCCCTATATCAATGTCCAGTGCTGCGGTGCACTTGTGTTTATGCCCTCCAGCATCGCAGATGGCCCTGGGCACCCGTGCCTGGTCCATACCCTCCCACAAGCCATCATGTTGTAGTTACTGGGGGAGCGCTGCAGAATTAGGGCTTTAGCTCCGAGGTGTTTGTTTCCCCAGCTTATTTATTGCAGGATCAGTCAGTGAGCCAGTCAACAAATAGCACTTAAATGCTGGGCATATAAAGACAAAAATGGAACCTGCCCTCAAGAGACTTCCATTCTATGTCTACAAAATGCTATGTATGTGAGTATATGCAAAAATAAAAGAGGAATTAGCAGCTGGGGGAGTCGAGAAAGGCTGGAGCCGAGCTTTAAAGAAAAGTAGAGCGTCTGAGAGGTAGAGGTAAGGAAGAGGGGACAGCCAGTGCAAAAGCCTGGAGATGGGAGACGGGAATGTCACGTTCAAGGAGCAGAAAGAAGGCCAGCGTGGTGGGATAGCGCTCGACTGTGGGTTTGGTTTCAGATGGAGAAGGGACCTCACAGATGTCATCCAGCCTCATTTTACAGGTGAGGAAACCAAGACTTAAAAAGGTGAAGTAATAATAATAATACTGATAGCTAGCCTTTATTTATCACTTTAAGGTTGTGCAAAGTGCTTTGCAGATACCTTATTTGATGCTCACAACAACCCTAGGAGGTCAGTGGTATTATTATCCCCATTTCATGTCGTTGTTTGGTTGTTTCAGTCCTGTCCAACTCTTCATGGCCCCATTTGGAGTTTTATTGGGAGAGATATTGGAGTGGTTTGTCATTTCCTTCTCCAGCTCATTTTACAGGTGAGGAAACCGAGGCACAGAGATTGTCATTTGCTGAGGGTCATGCAACTAGTAAGGGTCTGAGGCTGGATTTGAATTCAGGTCTTCCTGATTCTAGGCCCAGTACTTCATCCATTGTACACCAGCAGCTTCCAAAGCAGAGTTGGCATTTGAACCCAGGACTCCCAGGCACTTTGGGTTTT